TGTTATGTTTGTTTGATTTCTTGTGTTGTGTTTAATTTCCTCTGTGTATCTCTGTGCCATCGATTTACTTCCTCAGTTAGTTTTCTGCTCCAGAGTCTTGCCACTCCCACTCCCACCTGCCTGTCATCATTAGTTTCACCTGTCTCCACTTAGGTCATTAGCCAAAGCCTTCTTAAGTTCACTCTCCCAGTTTATCTACAGTCTGGCATTGTGCTTTATGTCCTGGCCGGTTGTCCTTTGTGGCACATGTGGTTTTGTTGTGTCCTTTTGCTGCCATGCTAGCCTTTTGTTCTGACATTTATTAAAACGTTTGCGTCTTACTTGAGCCTCCCATGTTTTAGCTACATCCTTGAGTCCTCAAAACTGCAACAGTTCATCTACTTTTTCTGGCGTTTTGGTAAAATCTGCCCAGTGGTTCATTAAATAGCATTCAGAGTATGTGTTAGAGACTTTCAGCTACTACAACACCACATTTAGCTTAATAAATGTAAAATTGTCTACTATACTTGAGCAAAAACATTAATGCATAGGCCTTTAGTGGCGGGGATAATTAATGCCCTTTAGGCTGTGTAGTTTGGATAAACCAAGAATTAAGTTACATTATCACTGCAGTAAATCATGACGAATACTGAAACAGAGGAAGTTTAAAGAATAATGTTTTTCACTGAGTCTGTTTCTGCTTTAAATTAAACTTCTGTGAGAGATATGAACAATTGTTTTCACAATTTGTTTAAATATGTAAGTGGTGCCAGTGTGACCTTCCTTAAGGCAGTTAGCTCTTAGCTCTGACCTTCTGCAGTTATCACGGGGTTGTGGAAATATTTGTTTCTGTTTAGACAGACAGAGAGAGAAAAGGATATGAAAGGAAAAAGGGGAGAAAATGAAAATGCAAATAGATTCTTTACCTGTTGACCCACGGTTTTTCTTGCCAACTGTCCATCAGCATGAGAGAATAAGATAAAACAAATTAGGAAAAAAAAAAAAAAGAGTACAAAGGTAAAGGAGAACAGAAAAGGAAAATGGGAAAAGATACAATTTAGATTTGTAGTATTTCCCCAGCATGCTGCCAAAAGACACATTTAGCAAGTACACAGAAAACTAAAGAAAATGCAGGCTGTCACAAATCATACGACTAAAGACATCTATCGTTTGGGAGGAAACTGGATAAGAAAGGGTTTTTTTTATTATTATTTTTATTGAGAAACAGAAAAAAAACTGAATGTGAAGTGGAAAAATGTCTGAAAGGAGGAGCGAGACAGAAGACAAGAAAGAACACTGTTATCATAGAGTCCAGAGGAAGACAAACTGTTTGCAGCTCATCCATCAAGTGCCAGCAACAAAAGTTTTCCCACTCATTCACTTCTTCTCCTTCGTATTTATCTTTCCCTGTTTGCTATTCTTCCCGTATTTGTCATAAGTTTGGAAGTGGCAAAACTGTAAACTGTGAGAAAAGAATAGAAATAACATTTTGCTGGAAGAAGATCTACACTCACTGTTTCTTTTATCAATATTCTACCTCTTTATGCTTCTAGTCAGGCCCTCAGACGCTCAACCTTTCAGTGTATGTGTGTGTGTGTCAGAGCCTTAATCTGAAGTGAAGACAGCACAAAACAGCTACGGGGGGGAACAGCTAAAGCAGTTATGACAAACTTTTGGAAGAAATGTGAAAAATTATCTCAGAGGAATAAACAAACATTTCAAAAGTTTTTGTCATTTCTTTTTGAAATAATCAAATTGTTGTTTCTTTTTCTTTTTTTCTTTTGCAGATTTTTTTTTATTAAACCCAAGCACTTATTGGCACAAAGTAAGCAGAGAAAACTTTAAGAAGTTACCCTTTCTTCTGGCCAAATTTAAAAAAGCATTGAAATAATGTAGACTTTTCCACTTTAAGGTTGTGTTTTATTGACAAGTACATAAACGATTAGTGAGAAATAATTACAGTTTAATAATGTAAATGAGGAAGAGAGGTTATAGAAACAGTCTGATTAAGTAGCTAATTTCTAGTCTAATTAATTATTCTATAGTTTGAATGTAGGTAATAAATGTGACTAAATGCAACATTGATAACCAGGAAAACAATATGCTGATATGAATTACAGAAAATTAAAAAGATGAGACGGTGGAGCAGTTGATAGAGCTGCCGGCCGCCTCTCAGCGAGCAGGTCACTGGATTGAATCCCAGCCGGGGGGCTATTCTGGGTGGAGTTTGCATGTTCTCTCATGCATGCGTGGGTTTTCTCCTGGTACTCCAGTTTCCTCCCACAGACCAAAAACATGCATGTTAGACTGATTGGTAACTGTAAATTGTCCTTAGGTGTAAATGAGAGAGTGAATGGTTTGTCTCGTTTGTCTCTGTGTCCCGATGATGGACTAGAGACCTGTCCAGGGTGTCCCACACCACTCGCACAGTAACTGCTGGATATGGGCACCAGGGAACCCCGTGACACGAAAAAGAAGAAGCAGGTAAAGATAATGGATGGATGGATGGATGGATGGATGGATTATTAGAATTAGAATTAATAGCACAACATTTTACAGCAAGAACAATAAGCCCAGTCTGTCCAACAAAAATATATACCATCTCTTTATCTGTTCCAGTGATGTTCTGGTGCTGGATATTCATTCAAGTTTCTTTCAGCTGCTTCCTTCTGCAGGGGTTGTGACACGAGATATTCGCATGAAAGATTTGGCAATTCTTTTATGCCGAATACCCTTACTGACGCAACCTGGGCTCGGACCGGCAGCCCCAGGATTACAAAGCTGCAGCACTAAACCAAGCTACCACAGCCCCCTTGTACTTGACATCCATTTAATTAGTTTTAAACATTTTATGTTGTTTTTTTTTTATCTTTGGATAACTTTGTTCTAAATGTGTTCTTTAAAGTGTCACTAAGTGTTAATGTTAAATAAAGTTGATTTGATAAAAAAATAAATACATAAAAAAAAAAGCCGGTCCATAAAAGTTTAACATTTATAAACTCATCTAATGTAACTTTGCAAAAACAAAAACAAAAAGTCAGCAAACGTATCTACTGAGACCCTTTGTCACGTTCTTATTTACCTTACATCATCATATTTTTTGAGTACTTTGCTTATTCAATGAAAACTCTCAGCAAAATACTTCAACACAACAAACTTTTCAAACTGAAAACCTTTAATTAATGTCAAAAGACAACTTGAACAGACTAATTTAACAAAACAGCAGACAGGGCAATGATAAACAAGCCACCTGCCTGTTACCTTGAAAAAAAGGTGCGTTTGCAAAACTGTTGCTATTTAAAGACAAACGATCACAACAAACTATTTATTTTTCTCTTGTTTGTTGCACTTTATGGATAGCAGACTGACAAATAACATTCATGATTTTTAAAGAAGTGTTTATCTGAGTTTTACTGAAAAAAAACTAGAGTGCTGCATAACATCAGTGTAAAAACTCTCCAAACACTGAACAGTAAAGTCGTATATGTCGATGCTAAGATGAGGAAAGATTTATATTATATACATTAAAAGCAGAAAGAGAAAATTACAGCACCAGCTGGTTGGAAAACTTTCTGAACATCTGAATTTTAACTTTTTTGTTCTGTTTTACTTATTTATTTAATCATTACAATACTGTTCTTCACAATGAAGAAGGAAAAATGTTTTATGCAAATTAAAACACACAAAAAAGAAACATTACAACCACATCTTTGTTTCAGATCCTTTACTCTTTAGTTGGTTTGGGTCAGGGTTAGCTGGTATTTCATCAAGCTTTGCACACCATTTCTTTTGATTATTGTCTCGTTCTTCTTGGCTAAAACAAACTATCATGTTTGTGGATGTTTTCGTAACCCGAGCCACAAACAGACACAAAAATGCCCAGAAGTAAAACTAAAACTGATTTAATAACCGAAGAAATAAGCTAACGGGGAGCAGAAAACAGATTTTTCACCGGCGTACATGAGGGAGCAAACATGGACGGTCATTCAAAATGCAAAGCACTGGCAGGGAAGCAACACAATGACACAAAATATGAAGAATCACTATTGACAGACAACTAAAACACCTGGGGGAAGACGAGGATCAGGTGAGAGTGGGAGGAGCAGGAGCTGAACTACACGAGGGAAAGCAGGAGAAACAAGAATAAATAAAATCATAAAGTGCTATGTGTTGTCATCGTTGTATGTTCCCATATATAGATGAAATTAGTTCTCTGCATTTAACCCATCGCACCTGAGATACACCCAGGTGGAACAGTGGGCAGCAATGCAAGTGCCCGGGGAGCAATTTGGGATTAAGTGTCCTGCTCAGAGACACCACGAGATGTGCAATGACCGGGGATCGAACCCAGGACAAAATCACAGAACTAATCAAACAGTAACACAACTGACACAGATCATGACACAAACTTCACAAGGTTGGATTATCAGATTTCAGATCCAGACTCTGGATCACTCCAGAATGTTTCAGTGTGACTTTTGTAATTTTCTGAACTGATGCAGTATTTGAGAGAACTGTAACAGCAAAACTCAAAACATTTTTCACCACTCGGGAAAAGTCTTTTCAAACAGGATTGTGTCGTACGGTTTAATGTTCATTTTCTCCATCGTAATAGTCTTCCTCCTCCTGTCATTGCTTGTGCTTGAGTGTGTGTTTGTCTGTCTGTTTTGCCTGTAGGCAAAAAATCTCATGAACCACTAGACAGGTTTTAATGAAACACACAAAGTAATCATTGGATCTACAACTGATGGCATTAACCCAACTCAAGATGTCTGCCACTGCTATTCACTTATAGCAAAAACAAAAATGTCCAAAAGTATTTATTTTCATAAAGGCTGTGCTAAAATTTGGTGTGGTGGTAGCTGGGAATCTTCATTAACTACTATTCAGAGCTCAAACCGATAGTGTGATGCCTTTGCTTAAAACTTTACTGTGGTGGGCGATTACCACCATTTCTGAGAATATTTGATTATTTTAGATTAGATAAATAAATGTAACTAGGTAAAATTGGGCTTCAACAAAAACTTTAGAACCTTGACAACAAATAAATGATGGCCTAAAGAAATTATGTCATAACTAAAAATTGAAATGTCCGTCTAAATGGGATTATTCATAAGTAATACAAATTTACCAAAAAAATAGTGTTTGCCATTCCACAAAACTGTATATAATGATGAGGTAAAATAACTGAATCTGTTTAAAGTAGATTTGAAATATTACTGAAAAAAGCATAGGGATGCACAATATTATCGGCATAGTATCAGTATTGGCTGATATTGGCGTTAAAGTTCAGTATCGGACATCGGCCATTCCATCAAAATAACTCACCGATATAAAAGGTGCTGTTTTTGTATGACAACCCAGTGACAAGGATGATTGCAGTGGCAGCACAACGTGATGACATCACGCGCGCCTACCTGATCTCACGGCAGAAAGGAAAATTCAAAATGTCAGCTGTGTGGAAGCTTTTTTTTTTCCTTGAGGATGTCTGATTCCGAAGATTTTTGGACTACGTTGAGCATCGCTACATCATTCCCAGTCAGAGATATTTTTCCGACGTAGTCTTACCCGAGTTACACTCCGTCATTTCCGATGTCATTGAGAAGCTAATAGCTGATAGCACTTGGATGAGTTTTACCACAGACATTTGGACGTCAAGTGTTAGCCCTGTTAACATGATTAGTCTTACGGCACAATGGATAGACAAAAACTTTGAACTTAAAAAGGCTGTCCTTCATGCACAGGAGTGCAGACGATCCCACACTGCAGCTAGGAACCTGGAACAAGCCTCCACAAGTGAGACAGCATCACAGGTGACTAATGCTAATAAATAACATTTAACACTTTTTTCATTTAATATAAGTTAAAGTGCTATGCATATGGCTGTTACTGAATATATGTCACCAGCTCTTACAGCGGTTACACAATTTTTGTAGCAAATAACCCTAAATAA